GGAGTTGACTATCTCCCAGAGGTTACTTTTAGCTAGGGTATGGCTTCTAGAAAGTTTTAATGTGCTTAAAAGGTAAGAAAGATGGAGGCTGCTAATTTTAAAAGGTTGGTCTTGCAGAAACTGTTGATTATTGTACAGTAGAACTTTCTGGTTAAAGATTGACATTGAAGATAGGATCTGCCAGTAGTTATCTCAGAGATGTGCCAGGTGCCTCTATGTGTTCTCAGGTGTCTACACCTTTTGGACCAGATGTGGTAGTTGCCACCAGGGATGTTGGAAATGACAGAATAGCCCGGCAGCACCTTCACCAGCACTCACTCGGTTTATTGCGCTGTATTTCACATGACTATGGAGAAGGGTGATGTTAAAAGCAAGAAGCTTTTCCAATTGATGGTGAAATAATAAAAAAATAAGGAAGAGCCCCCAGTCCTTTCTGTACACAGATTCTTCTCAGTGGCTTTGAAGTAGATAGAGAAGAAGAGAAGCAAGTAATATTAAACTATCTGAAATAATAGGTGAAGGTTAAGCAATGTATTAACCAAATTCAAGTGTGGGCTTTTATCTCCAGTCTATAGAATACAAAGATAACTTTAATGATCCCAGCTGGCCCAGAGATCTGCTCAGACAGGGACCCAGTGAATAGTGGGATAAGGTTTGTACTTGCCTCAGGGGTAGAAGCTCTCCCCGAGGAGGAAAGCCACTAACCCCACCAGCAGGTACGGGCTGCTGTGACTATGGGGACTACTTAGTGTCCTCACGAAATTCGGGGAGTGACCTGAGCACAATTCGGTTGTCCTTTTACCACAGCTCCTTCCCTCAATCACAGCTTGGCTTTGCTGCTCCGGGGAACCTGGGCAAGCTGGAGGGGGCCCCACACTGCCTGTTGGGGTTCTGGAGAGCTTGTTCAGCCTGTACTCTAGAGCTAGACAGCAAGTGATACATTTTCCACATAGACATACATTTTGCAGAAATTACATTCTAGGGCTTGGAAATTGATGACTTCTGGCATATGTTCTAGTGATGAGGCCCTGCTGACCGTAGCCAGGAGGGGGCTGGTTTCACTCCTGGCCATTCACTCTTCTTTCCCCCACCTTCAAACACCTCTCCGTTTCTTCTACTGTTTAAATAGCAAAATGGGGAAGAATTTATTTGTCTTCAAGCTCAGCAGTGCTGTTTTAGTTGTAAACCAAAGTCCAGAAAAAAAGTTTTGTTTTTACTCCTGGTCTTATCAATTATTAACTGTACAATCTTAGGAAACTCAATTTCTGAATACTTGTGTTTATTCATCAATGAAATTAGGCTAATAAGATCTATTTTACTAGAAAACGTAGATTTGTGACCTGATTTTCATAGATGGTCATCCTTAAAACTTATATAAGCATGTGTTTATTTCCGGGGGCCCTTAGTTTTTTGTTTTTTTAAATTCTGAGAGGGGATCTGTGGACCTCTCTTGCCCCTAAATCAGTAATCTCTGCTCAGATAGAAGATAATAGATAAGAAATGCTTTGGTACTGTGAAATGCAGCATTATTTCGAGTGGATTAGAAACATTTCCTATTTAGACCTTTTAATTCATATTTCAAATCTTTTGAAACTTCCTTATAAACAGATCACCCTGTTTTTTCCACTATCTCCCTTCCTCTCTCTGTGCTTCCATCTTTTCTTTCTTTGCAGTTGTAGAAGATCTAGAATGAAAAACTGAGTACAGTTTTCCAGGATTAAATAGTCATGCTTGACAGTTCAATCCTACGTCTACTTTCCCTATTTATGATGTTTCCAACTTACCCTGATGCTGTGGCATTTAAAACTCACTTTAAGGTCTTTATTTCCATAATATCCTTCTGGTTGCTTTTGCTTTAGTGATATTTCAGCCCCACTTCTGTGTTGTAGAGAAAAAATTAATTTTCTTTTCTCAGTAAGACTTAATTATATATCCAGTCCTTTGAGAAAGACACCTTCTGTTACTTACTCCCTGTTTGAATTTACTGAGTGATCTTTTAGATCCAAACTTACCTTTTATAGGTCAGAAACAGAAAGAAATATAGTCACTCTAGATTTCTTCCATAGTGTCTTGCATTCTAAGCCAGGTAGACTTCTGGGGTTATTACTATTTATTAACCATCCCAGAACTTACCGAGTTAAGACAGCTGTTTTGCTCATGAGTCTGTGAGTTGACTGGGGCTCAGCTGTGTGGTTCTTCTGCTGGCCTCTGATTATCTAGAGTGTCTGCAGTAATACAGTAGGGGGACAAGATAGGTTCCCTCACATGTCCCATACCTGGATAGGGTAAGCTGGGAGTTTTTGATCTTTCTGTCTGGCTTGCTTTGGTCTTTTATTATTTAGTGACTATCAGTAGATATTCTGAGAAGACAAGTTTACGCTTGCTAATGTCCCTCTGGTCCAGCCCAGAGTCTCTGTGGTGGTAACACATGACTCAAAATGTGACCATCAGTAGGTGTGGTTCAGTGGGGACCGCTGACATACTGTGCCTCACTAGCATATAGGAGAAATTCATTAAATACTTACATGGGTTGAGTGGTTTGAGTTTTTAATGTAGAACATTTTATAACTCTTTACTGAGATAGCTACCTTATAAGGTTAAGTTATCTTCAGATGCTCTCCTTCCTGTGTTTTGTAATTTTTATTTAGATAAACCATTTGTTCTAGTCCTACTCGATCCATATATACTCAGTCATAAGTTAAATGTTGTTTTAAATTTGGAAGTACTACAAAATTTGCCTGTCATTCAGGCTTTCTTAACTTTTGTGATTGGAGAAGATACACTGATTATGTTTTTTAAACATCTATATGTTTTACTTAAATGATGACCCTAAATAGCCTTCCCCTTTACTTGCAGTCACTCTGGGTATGTGACACCAGAGAAAAGAATTTGTCCTTTGTCTAAGGAAGCTCAAGTTTAGACATCTAAATTGTATGGCAGATGAATTAAAAGAAGCTTGAGGTGATTACACGAAGGATGTGATTTTGTTATAAAAGTGCTTCTGTTTTGCACATTTTCTCCATCTGCAACTTCCTATAATGTATTTAAGAATGAGTAACAATCAGTTACAGGAGAAAGTGTGATACGTGGTGAAAAGGAATTTCTACATTTTCTCTTTTTTCAGGTTGATGAATTTTTTAAAATTCTAGGAGTTTCTGTCATTTCAGGACAATCAGAAATGAAAAAGAAACCCAACGTATCTATGATATTGAAGTATATCAAAGGAAATACTTGATATGACACATTTTATGTGATGTCAACTTTTTAACTGATACTGGTCAATATTAGGTCATTTTCCAACCTTCCTCTTTGAAATTACCAGGGAACATTTTAATTTTTAAGCGAGCTCTGGTAGATGATTACAGCTACTGCATCACGTTAAAATGCAGATTCTGATTCCACAGCTCTGAGCAGGGCCTGGCCTCCTCATTTCCCATGAGATCCCGGTGCTGTGATGGTGTGGGCTCTGCTGCTTCTCCAGGAGTCTGTCCTCAGCAAGCCCCCAGGCACACCCGTTTGCTCCCCACACATGCCGGGCTGTGCGCCCATTTTCACTTTCCTCATGAACCACCAGTGGGACACAGAGATCCTTTCAGCATCTTTTCACACATGTGCAGGCCATCTATTTCACAACCAGAAAATTCATACTCATTTAAAACTATGTCTTTTCATATATGGGTGTAAATGTGGCCTTTGTTAATGGCCGTAACTTGAAAACAAATTCCTTGGTTAACATCACGTTGTGTAGTCCCTCAGGTTTCATCTGGTGTCAGGCAGCCTCTGCATATGTCACATAATCCTTCAAGCAGGTATATCCAGGGTCAGGCACTGCAGACTGCCAGCTCAGACACATGCTAGATGGTGGAAGTAGGATCGGGGTAACCAAATAACTGCCAGAGTCACCCCAGTTTCCCTGGAACCAGGGAACCCAGAGTATGGCCATCTTTCCTTCACTCCGTGGAGACATTTCTCCAGCCCAATAGCCCCCTGTTCTTTTGGGCTTAAAAATATCTTCACAGGTCCTGAGGTCCCTCCTATCTTTTTTTTCATGCAAAGATTTCACAGTATTTTCTTTCTTCCAGCCTTCCTTTACACAGAGGGAAGACCCAGTATATCTAGCCCATCAAATGGTCTTACCAGAATTTTTATTAAGTAGAAAACTATTTTAGCTGGGAAATTATGTGCCAGTCTAAGAATACACGGAACCAGTGGGACTCATGTTTTCATGTTTTGAACAAAGGCTGCCTGGGTAAGAGGATTTTGAGGGCTTTGGAAGCAGACGGAGTTGGATTGGAAGCCTAGCTCAGCTGTTCCTTGCTGTGTGACCTTGGACTGAACCTGACCCAAATCATTTTTCTAACTCAAATGAAATGTGGTATCAGTTCCCACTGTTCAGATGGGGTGTGGGGGAATGGTGGTGTGTGTGTGTGTTTGTGTGTGTGTGTGAGAGAGAGAGAGAGAGAGAGAGAGAGAGAGAGAGAGAGAGAGAGAGATCTGTGGTCCTCAATGTTGGTACCACATTTCATATCCCTGGCATTGTCCCCTGTGACCCACTCAGAAGGGGGTCTCTGATGGTGGCTCTGTTTGTTCCAAGACCAGCTAGCTCACCAAAGGGGTCTTTGAAAAATGCTCAAAACCTCGTGTTCGCTGTGGTGTTCAGGAGTGCCAGCCGTCTTCACATGGAGCCCTGCTGGCACAGGTGTGAGTGGGTCAGGACCTTGCCATTCCTGGAGCCCTCACTCACTCTCTTCTTATTTAGGGAAAGCTCCAGGGCTTGAGTAATTCCCTTTTTCAGTCCCACAAACCTATACCCTTTAGACCTACAGTTCGGGTACACTGTAGCACTTTCTAATCCCGTTGGTGTCCACCTTCCAAACTCAAGTCCCCAGGTTAGTCCACCCCACCCCTGGCGAATCCTTCTCCTTCTCATAACCACCACTAACTTTATTATTTGTTGTGTACTCACTGAGAGTCAGATACTACTCCAAAAATACCATCAATTATTTTTATTTTAAATTACATAACAAGCCAGGTTAGTATATTCCCATATTTTACATGCAAAGAAATTGTGGCATGTGAGGCTTGGCCAGGAGCCTGCAGCTAGTGAGAGGAAGAATACAGATGCGATCTTAGGTATCTTTAGTTACTGAAACCTGGAAACATGGTCGAGTTCTCTTTGTCACTGATGCATTCTTCTTGGGTCCACTTAAATGTATTTCCTTTATCTGAAAAAGATCAGTGTAGAGTAGTTGCATTCCAAAGTATCCTTCCAAATACTGCTTAACTGCAGTTTTACGTAGGGTCTTTTTTAAGCAAGAAAAATCACTTCTAACCTGTAAAGAGTGCAGAGCAGCAGCCGTGTCCTGGGAGATGGAGCTCCGTGGCAGGGAAAGTCAAGCTCCTCTGTTAGGGAACGAATGGTTCTCAACTCAGTTTGCTGAAGGCGCTTTTGCAAAAAATCTCAAAAGACCCCAATCTTGACTACTTTTGAAATATCTTGCATAACTTAACAGGTAAAATCCAGAGGAAAATCCACCTTTGTCCACATTTTACATAAATCAAGAGATTCTGGAAATTAATCTGATGCTCTGGCTATAGATCATCTGTGAAATCTTAAAACATTTCCTTAGGTAGGTAATTTGTGAACCTTTAGGAAACTGTGTTGTAATTAATAGGGTCAACATGAGTTCACACAAAGGGCAACTAATACAGAACTAACTTGTTTTTTATTTGTGAGAGTTCCAACAGTAAGGGTATGTTGTTGACATATTTTGTTTTGAGTTTGCAAAACCATTTGACTAAGAATTCTATGAAGAGGGCGATGAGCTGATTAGATCGGTTAGATCCGTGGTCATGTGTCCCCTTGCCAAGACAAGATTCTCACCTCCTCTCCATACCCACGGAAAGGAAATCACTGAGGAAAAGGCCCAGGAAGAATCCACAGAATTCAAACCACTCACCTGAAAGACTCAGTTTCGCAGCCATTCCATAGTCTGGTTGGGAAACACTAGCACAAGTTTCCAAACTTTTTTTCTAGGAGGGTGGGGCAGGAAATTCTTCCTGCAAATGAAACCATGTATGAAACTCTGCCATATAAAACAGATAATGTGATATCTTACTAGTAGACATTTTACTAGTAAACATGTATCGTGTGTACTGCAGAACCACTAAGAACAATGAGGCGATTCTGAAAAAAAAATTTGAATTTAAATCAGGTGCTGATAATAACTATCGAGGCTGTTTTCATATTGTCATAGTCTTTGTTTAATGAAATTATATACTTGGCTTTCAATGCATAATGTTTTTAAAAGCTTGTCCTTAAAGATAATTACTTGTAAACTGTAACAGGGATTTTTTTTTTTTTTTTTTAAGTAAGTTGCTTTGGGATCTTTGGGCACTTTCCAGTCCAACCCAACTAAGGTAGGGAATATTTGTTTCAAAACTGTAACCCTGTAGCTAAACTATGGAAACAATCGCTCACATTTCTTATCTTAAATCTACAGTCATACAGGAAACATCTAATTCTTAGAATAAATATTTACCCTTTCTCAAGTAGGATATTATCACAAAGGACTTCTACTGTGATGAAAGCAAGGCCGTGTACAGATGCCCAGGCCTCTCCTGGCATTGCTGGGAGCCCGCACTGGGGTGTGGTTTTTGTGCTCATGTGCTTCCTTGAACAACTTTGTGGCAGCCAACTGCAAGTACCAATATTTTCCACAAGACTAAGGCAGGGCTGCAGACTCCCTTACCAGCGTCACACCAAGTCCCCATGTGCACAGGGGAGCCTCCTGTGAGTGCCAACGAGGTCCCCCCAAGGTTGTTGGCTCCCCACCATGTGTGTCAGCAGTGGGTACACGGCCAGTATCTTCAGTGGTTGGGAGATTGACACATAAACTACTGGATGATAGGAAAAGTCATGATGCATTTTTTCCTTGAAAAACTATGTTCTAAACGTCATGACTTTTTCCGACAACCCAGTATTTCAGTGTCATTTGAAAAGTGATAGCTTTTAAAATATCTAAGATATATGTAAACATTAGAAACAGCAGTTGGTGGTATCCTGCGAGTACTTCCCATAGGAGTCCTTTCAAAAACAAAAGTCTAAGAGAAATATTGGATGGTCTCACTCATAGCAGGAATCTAGAAAACTTAAATAAGAGACCAGGAAAAAGAATAACTATAAGAAAGTAAAAATCAAAATCAACAAACAACTATGAACCAGAGATACTCTATGGGGGCTGGGGGGCGGGGAAAGGAGGGATTGGGGTCAAAATAAGGAGGTTGCAATTGTATGGGGAATATAAAAATAAAATTAAAATAAATAAATAAATAAATAAAAGATACTAATAAAGTGATCTTGAGTATAACAAAAACAAACAAACAAACAAACAAAACAAACCAAAAGTCTAGTATTGATTGGATGCCTGATTTTATCTTAGGAAAAATGTGTGGTTCCCTGTGGAATGCAGAGATAACAGGACCACTAGGTGTAGAGATGAGAAAATACCACAATTCAGAAGGAGGGAGCTCATGTGCCAAAAGAAAAAAAAAACAAAGTACCTTTGAGTACAAGTAGGGAGTGATTTCTTCTGGCCAGAAAATCAGGGAGGACTTCCTGGAAGAGAAAGTATTTGGGGGAGGCCTTTGAGTACATGTGGGACTTGGATATGAGAATAATGAGAAAATATGATGTTCTAGAGCATTTTACCTTTAGAGGAAGTATAATTTTAGGGGTAAATGGTGATACCACTGCCCTCTTAAAAAGTACCTTCTTCACTAATAAATTATTAGCTCTGTATGCATTTAAAACCATAATCTGTTATTAATTGGTTCAAAAAATAACCATCCTCTTATATTTAAAACTTCCTGAGATTCTTTCAAAGTTAGTGTTACCAGTGGTTTCTTTGTTCAGAATTAGACCTTTCCAGTGATATTTGCCCAACTTGGCTGCCCCTTTAATACCTACTTGCATCATAAATTTGCCCTAAACCTGGTAACTACTTATTTATCCAGTGGTTTTACCCATTCTGGCAACATTAAGCACCTAATTATGTGCCAGGTCCTAGAGAGTTCTGGGCACCCAGCAGTGAACAAGTCAGAACTGGACAGGTGAATTGAAGACCTGGAAACCACCTGAAGTTCTTCTTGTTAAACTGTATTTAAAAAGATAACAGTGCAACTTTCCTTACAAACTGATAAGCATGAAGCATGTACCTCCCAGAGCTTTTACATTTTAATGGGTTTCAAAGCTTTGCCCAGAACTGCTTGTAATCAGCAGGTATGAGAGGGGCATTTTGGTTGGAGCTTTGGGACTTCTCCAGCTTATATGGCTTTTTAAGCAGCAGGGTTGGTGCTGTCCTATCTGTACTTTAAGGTGGGGACTGGCTCTGATAATCTGATAATCCTAGGAATGTAGCTTCAAGAAAAGTACCGCATGGGGAATAATCAATATAATATACCAGAACAGAAAAGCATTTTGGTTATAATTTTGCCCTTTTGAGAAGAGAGAGGGAGTCTAGCATAATACAGTGGCCAGACCTACCCTGGCCTGGCTGTGGTGCAGGCATGTCACTTAACCTCCGTGTATGTCCATGTCTGGATGACTGTGACAGCAGCACAGTTGACTGTCGAGGCCAAACAGGTTAACATGTACAAAGCATTTACACTTGTGTCTGCCATAAAAGCATTAGATTAAAATTAGCTATTAATGCTTTCAGCTGTGTTTTCCTCTGTTTAGCTAGATTTTTCTGAGACTATACAGCAGATATCAGCAAGAGTGAATGAGCAGCTAGATCAAAGGAGCATGGTAACTTCCTCTTCCCCTTCACATAGTCCCCACTCTGCTCCCCTGCAGACCCCAGAGTTATTTGTTCTGTAAGGTTATAACATCATATTTGTATGTATGACCTTGAAAAGTTTTAATGAAGTAGTTCTGGGCAAAGCTCTCATGGTTAGAAAATAAATCAGGCCTCCCACACATACCTGCTCGCCAAGAATTTGTTTGCCCCAGGAGCTGTGGGTGGGCGGGAAGCAAGCACACTCCCAGCTGGTGTGAACTCCCTGTTCTTCCTGGAGCTGTCCCCCTTCTCAGTGACTAGTGCTTCTGGTCATTTCATTCTCAGTTCTAAAGAAAAAATATTTTCTCTTAAAAAAAAATAAAAAAGCTTTTTCTCTCCCCATCTCTAGGGCAACACCCATAGCCCCCTGCATATTATTACACTTGTGCACATTTCTCCCACCTCCAGACAAGCAGCCTGCAGTCTACATGATGCCCTGGGGATCTCCTAGCGTGGCTCCCAAGTTTCAGGGGCTGCATGCATAAGACCCTCTGAAGCCAGGAGAGACCCCCTAGCTAATGTGCTGGAGTGTGTGTCACAGGCAGAGCCCTGGCTGGAGCTTTTGTCCTGGCCCATTCGTTCCCCAGGGCAGGAGTGACCAGGGCCTCTATGACCTGTAACCTGCAGAGAGGGCCTCGCTTTCCTCGTCCTGCGAAAGGGGCCACACATGACATTGAGTTATTGGTTCCTGGCTTGTTTCATATTTTTCCTTTCAGTCTGTTGAGCATCAGTCTTGGTGTCTCCTAGCAAAGTTCTGTCACCGGAGCCGTTATGTTCTTTTCTCAGTTTGAGCACTGGCTGTATTGTCCACTCCTGGGGGAGGTGGTCTGGGATGGTGTGGGGAGAGGGCGGGCATCTCAGCCCTAGGATGTCTCCTGGGTCAGACCTGACCTCCCTGCCCATCTGTGTCTGCCCCGGGCTTGCTTTCCAGGTGGGTGGAAACTGGGATACAGCGAGCGCTCAAGAACTACTTCTCCTGTATTTCCACCTTGGATTATGGGACAAAGACTTACTGTAGGGCTAGTGGGTGCTGGGTAACTTCACAAGGTGGACAGATTTCAGGTGTGTGTGTGTAGGGCTGGGCTGACCTGATAGTTGGACTGCAGATGGTCTTCCCAAGAAGAATCATCCTTCCTCATGGCTGACTGAATTTTTTTTAATTCTCCCTTCCCGACCACCCTCCTCCCACTGAAGATTTTTGGAAGCAGTAAAACCTACATTGAACCTTGCCACTTAATTTTCCCTTCTAGTTTGAGCAAATATACGGAAGAACTGGCAAATTAAAAATAAAAGCGATTTTGTTTTGAAAATTGTACGCTATCGACAGCAGCCTCAGATCCAGAGCAGCTAACCCCGGCAACCTCAGCGTGTTTGCAGGGGTGCCTCCTGGCCACTCAGGTATGGCTGGTTTCAGGGCCCTGCACTTTCCACTGGAAGCAGGTTCCTGTTCTCAGCCCAGGTCCCCTCTTACTGCCACAGTGAAGTCAAACCTGTGGGATAAAAAGAAATGAATATGATAAAGTCTTCATCTGGCAGTCTGCTGCCCCAGCCTGCCTCCCATTTTACAAATCTTTCATTTAAAAAGAAAAACGATATGATCAAAGAAATTTCTCTGCTATTATGGCTTGGTGGTAGACCAGAAAGCTCCTGCTAATGCCTCAGAAATACATATCTCCGAGCTTTGTTTTAAGTCTCATGAAGTCAAACGAAGCTCTTTGTTAACTCCTAGGCTCTTGGCAGGCCTCACTGTGGAGAAGATCCACTGAGTGTGCCCCACTGAGGTCAAGAACTGAGGCTGTTGGCATGCAGACACCTGCTGCCCACCTTGGGGAGGCTGGGCCTCTTGCTCAGACCTTACCCCATAGCTGCCTGGGCTGGTCAGTGGTGCTGGCACCTGCAGAGCCTGCAGAGCCCACAGCCCATCCCATGACCACCCAGAGCAGCACAGAAAAGATAGAAGACAGTGGGGTCTAGAAGCAGCAGCTCTGGGAGGGGAAGGAGGCGCATTTACAGTCCTTTGCAGGAGAGGAGGTGGGAGGAAGGGAGAGGACTCCCTGTGCCTGTGCTGGCGCAGAGCCAGGGTCTCTGAGATGGTATTCTGGTCTCAGGTGTGGGCTCACCTGTTTTCATCTGATCTTTGGAAAAGGCACTGGTGTGTTTATGGAAATCTGCCCACTGCTCATCATTGGTGTGAGCCAGGGCCTTTGATTCCCACATCTGTTCATCTTTCTGGCTCTGCTCTGAGAAGTCCCAATCAGAAGGAACTTCAGATAAGGGACCGCAGAGCAGCCCTGTGCCATGTTGTGAGAATTGCCAGTCATGGTTAAAAAGCAGATTAACTTGGGTGTTAGATTGTTAGGGTAAAGGCTTGCACAGATTAAGAAATGTTTGAAGAACACAGTAGGCTTTCTTGTGTGCAGAGTTTTTAATATAATGAAAGGCTTAGAAAATACTGCTGGGAGAGAGTACCCCAATGTTACCTGTTAAAAAATAAACAACTAATTAAAAAAAAAGTATTGCTGGGGCATCTGGCCAGTGGAGGTTCCTGAACTGGCGTTAAGAATATACTGATTGCAAACTGCCGGGAAATGACTTGGGCGTATTTTCTGCAACCTTCCCAGTAACTATGAAAGATTGGTTTTTTATATGTAAGTTTATAGGGGAAATTATTTATATTAAGTAAAGTGCGTTTAAATACATAAAATATATGGGGCTCTTTTTAGACAGCTATTAGTAATCAAATTGAAATATAAAATGATAAACCTTAATAGAGATGACAGCAATTGTGTCTTTCTACGTAGAATAGGTTCGTTCTAACTAACTTCCCTTCCAGTGATCAGAATTGCTTCTATACCTAACAATTGATCATTTAGTCACTCCCCTCCCCTCTCCTTCTGCCCGCACCCCCCCCCACCCGGTGCATGTGGGTCCAGGTCACTAGAGTGGGCACTGCAGACATGAAGTTAGGTAACCCCCAGTCTTGCCCTCAAATGCTTGTCCAAAAGAATGTGCAGCCAAGTGAGGGTGGTGCGGGAAAGAGGTATGTGGGGCTACCTGGACAAGGAGCAGCTGTCAGCCTGCTCAGAGGGAGGGAATCAGCACAGGTTTCACAGAGAAGATTATGTGGAGGCTGAGCCTTCCAGCCTGAAGGGGTGGCCTAGAAATGAAGAGGCGTTCCATGCATCTACGTGTGACACAGTCAGGGAGCTGGGCTTGAAGAGCGGTGTGAGGCCTGATGTGATTGGACGCAGGAGGTTGGACAGGAGCATGCAGCAGGATGAGGATCAACAGTGATGGGAGCTCACAGCTTTGCCAAAAAAAAAAAAAAAAAAGGTTCTGTGGCTGAGAAGTAGATTTTGATATTACCTTTGGGGTCCAGCCTTAGGGGTCTTGTCTGCCCTCAGCCACATACATGCCTTTGTAAGTAGGTGGCTTTTCACTTCTTTAAATCTTACCTCAAGCTCAGCATACCTTTGTTAATCCTTAATAAATTCTGGTGAATAGTTGTTTCCTTTCTATAGCCCCTTGGTAATTCCCGTTGGTCCTTGAGGAGTCTACAAACAGGTGGTTTGATCTCCCAGATCTCTGATGGGACAGATCTCCATGCAGTCATTGGTATTGTACCTTCTCGCCCGTGGGCCTCCCTTCTGTAGGGTCTTTGAGATCCCCAGGGAGGGAAGCCACCAGGAATGTTCATCCAGCCTCTCCTTTGCTTACTAAGGTAGATTCAGCCTCTTTCCCATCACGCTGTCTCTGCTTGTTCATTTTAGGGCTTTAGAAAAATGATAATCAGGCTTTTCTCACTTTAAAAAAAAAATAGTCCCACTACTCAACTTTCAGAAGCAAACTAAGAAAGAAATCCATAGCTGTGACATGTTAATAAAGGTAAGGGGAGTCGGGGGAGGAGAGAATAATTCCTAAAATGAGGTGAAGTAGCTTTATTAACTTTCATTACCATGGGGTGAAGTAGCTCAGAAGTGAGGGCTTGGGAGAGGCATGTACAGCTCAGGCTACTACTTCACACGAACTATTTGTGATTAGAAACTCTTGTATTTGTGATTAGAAACAGTTGTATTCCAAAGGATGCATTTGACCATGTGTGAATACTGAACTCCCTCTGGCTGCAAGTGAAGTGGTTGGGTCCTGCAGGTAGAGTCTCAAGGGCTAGTTGTTAGGAGCAGGTAAGCCATCATGGCCATCTGCTCTAACTCCTGTCGTAAAGCTGCTGTGCTTTCCCAGCCAGTGCCATGGCTGTCTATGGGTTAGCATCTTGACAGTAGAAGGTGAAGGAGGAAAATATTCAGTATTATATGGTTTCTCAAGTAGAATTTTCAGTTCAGTCTGTGGCTAAGGATGCTACAAAAAAGACTGCTTGTTGCAGGGATTTAACTATCCTATGCCCTGGAGGGCAGATTCTTGTTCCCAGTGTAAGCGTAAAGCAATTATTCATGAGTGCAGTTGTTTCCATCTCTGTCAGGGGTTGTTGTGAAGGAACTAGATGGGGCAGGGTAAAAGAGGGGACAATAAATATTCTTCCACTGTGTACTCTGTGGTTCACAACCCAGCAGCAGCTGCACCACTGGGGAGCACCTGGAAATGCAGAATCTCGGGCCCCATCCCACAGCTACGGGACCAGCTACAGTCAGCAATTTAACAAAACCCCCGGGGGGAGGCAGATGGGGCATGGGCTTGGTGTGGGTGAGTGCTTGGTGGCGGGTGAGTGGAACGTGCAAAAATATAACCCCAAAAGTTAAAGTAAAAATAATAAAGACCCTCCCGCAGGCAATCCCTGTGCAAGTTGAAAGTTGAAAAGCACTGCCCTCATGGGTGATGCCAGGACGTGCCATAGCACATTTTGAGAACAACTAAGACATACCAGCTCTAGTGTTACATGTTGAGCAGGAGTTTAATTCTGTCTGCAGCTAGCGACCAGGCCAGCCATGGCGTTTGGGTACACAACAACTGTCTGTTTAGGAAGATGGGTGTGTGTTTACCTCACAGATGATGGGCTCCATGGCTTGAGGGTAGGGAGGAAGAGCTGCTTACCTGCCCTGGAGATGGTTCTTTGCAAAGATCTACCCCGACTTTTTTTTTTCCCCCCAGTCCCTTATTAGCCAACAGAACAGATTTAAAAGGTGACTATGGTGGGTTTTTTTTTTTTTTTGTTTTATGAATTTCATCATGTTTGTTCTTCATGTCATGTTATCATCATGGGTTTTCCAGGAAAAAAACAGTCCATAAAAGGGGGGCTTCCTCAGTGATGTGCCAGGCATCGAAACTGGCACTCAAAAACTGAAAATGGATGAACACAACTGGCACAGCTGGGAGATATCAGGGTTAGACACTGCAACCCGAGCTGCCACCAGGAATACCTGTTTGGTCTGTATCTAGATGGACCTCTGCAGGCAGGTCTTCACCTGGAAAACCTGTAGTCATAGACTACAGCAGTCTCAAGTGTAGATGGTCCCTTACCTCGGGGAACCCTTTCAGAGTCAGCCAAGCAAGCTAATACATAGTGGTGACCGGTAGAGCCAGTACCTGTATTTCCATCCTTAGAAATGTGATACAAGGATTTTCTTTTGTTCAGTCATTTCCACTGTCTGTGATGATGACATATTAATTACTTCTGTATAGGTAACAATTGGCTAAATTTTCTTTGGGAAAAGTAGTAATTAAACCGTTAAGTGATGAAGGATTTAGACGATATAAGATCATCCGTTGGGGGAATTAATTCCAGGACATTCCTTCAAGCTCCAGGAAGAATCCAGCTGTTTCCTAGAAGCACCTCCATTGTCCCTTAGTCCAGGCAGCTGTCATCGCTTTCCTGGGTTGTGTCAGGTCTGATCACTGATTTTGCTGCTTCCTCCCTTCTCGACAGGCTGCTGTCAAACACAGCAGCCAAGTCACGTTTGCTTCTGCCCTGTCGCGGCATTCCACGGCTCTCAGGATAAAAGCTGAAGCCATGCAGCCCTAAGAAGCCCATTGCTCCCCTCTGACCACACACCCTACTACGGGCTTCCTCGAGCACCCCAGGCCAGATCAGACACACTCCCCCCTGGGCCTGCACCTGGCTCATCCCTCTGTTGGGAACTGACTTTCCCAGGATGTGCTCACCTGAGCTGCAGACTTCTTCAGGTCACAGATTTCTCAGTGATATTTTCCTTGGTCATCCTATTTAACCCCTCCCCCGATATATTTATATTTTTACATATTATGTGTTAATTTTCCATCTCCTCTTAGAATAATGCCTCCTTAAGAAGAGGTGGTTTTGTCTTCCTCACTGCATTTCCACAACACCTGGAATAATGCCTGGCTTACTTGAGGTGCCTGCTCTTTGTTGAATGGATGAACGAAGGAGGCCCCCTCCAACCCTATGACCAGGCAGGAGTTCAGAGCTCTGTGGGACTTCTAGCTAGTTTTGTCCTCATTCTCATCACACAAGAGGACTGAAATATTAAGAGAACATCTTTTAAAAAATTAACCACAACTGTGAGCCATTTGACACAAATGGGAGGATAGCACAGTGAGTACACAGCAGGCCCTTGGGGGAGGAGTCTGTATGTGGGGGCTTCTGGGGGTCCTCTTGCTTTCTACCTCCTAGCAGTGGCAGGATCCCTCATCAGACTCTGGGTCTTAACGCCTGTCCTCCGAGGACGCTGGGCTGGGTGTCGCGCATGCGCCCATTAATTGTTTGCCAGTGTTGTCTCATCAAGAGCTTCCTTTGGCTGCAAATTATGTTTTCCTTTTTGTTGATAGTGTTTCTTAGTAACCCACTGCCACAAGTCCTCTCTGCAGAGCTGCTCCCCAAGTTACAGTGAACTTTGTGCTGTTTCTTTTGCAGCATCTTAAGATTTCTTTTGGCCTTGAGAGTCTAGGAAACAAAGTTACAGACGTAGACCTTGGTCATCAAATTACTAGGAAACCACATAGGAGAATGAATCCACTCAGGGAAGCCAGGTGGTCGGAGTGGTGGTAGATGCCTCCTGTTTCAGGCACCTTTGGCCATCAGCCACTCAGTAAAGTCTCTTGACCGTCCACTATTTGGAAGGTGCTAACAAAATGAACACCCACACAAAAATAAAGTGAGCATAGTGTCCATCCACATGGAGCAACTTATCATCTGGTGAGGGAGATAAACAAGAGTTAAAACAGTCATGTTAATTTACTATTAGTTACTGTGATAAGTGCTCCAAAGGAGAAATGCAGGGTGATACAGGAACTTAAAATAAGAGCATTTGTCCTAGTCTTAGTCATGTGACCCTTGAGCTAAGTCCTGGTGTGACTAGCTAGGCATGTGCTTGGGGACTAGGACAGAAATACATGCATGAATTCCCAGGTAGAGGAAGCAAGGTGTGCAGAATCTATGAAGTGTTGGAGTCCTGTGCATTCAGAGGGTAAAGGGAGACAGTGTGACAGAAGTGAGGGGGTGACAGGAAGGAAGCGGGAGAGGAGAGCAGGAACCAAGCAAGCCAATAGGGGCAGCTTTTGAGTATTTCTCATAAGGTCAGTGCAGGGCATTAAAAGGGTTTCAGTAAGGCTGAGCCACTCTCTCTCTTCCATTTTAAATTCCTTTTTTTAAGATTTATTTTTTTATGCATACAAGAAGTGGGGTACAGGCCAGAGGTATGGGAAGGTGAGAGGATTCACCAGAGACAGAGTGGGGAATAGAACAGGCAAATTGACTAAAATACCCTGCTGAGGGGAGCAGTGGGCGAGGTAGGAGAGGTCTGCTTCGCCATGTGGGTAGCTCCCTGGCTGGGGATTGAACTCATGCTTGCAGAGGCTGTGAACAGCTTCACAGGTTGCATCATAACCTCTTGCACTACCAGGGAGGCCCCATTTTAAAATCTTAATCTGGACACATTGTAGGTAATGGACTGGAAGGGAGAAAGTGGAAGTTGGGAAAATAGCTAACGGTGTTTTTGTGTTTGTTCAAGAGAAGGATGATGGCAGCTTGGACTCCGGCAGCGGAGGAGAGAGAATGCTTCTCTAGAGAGAGAATGTTGGGCACTGCTGGCATCTGGAAGGGGCTGCTCTGATACGCTCACCAAACAGTCTTCTTTAACCTGCCTGTAAGATGCCTGTGCCTGGGGTTTCAGGAAATATTTGCTGACTAAAGAAATAGAGAGTACACACAATGGAATACCAGGTAGCTGTAAAAACTGATAAAAGTGGGCCTCCCCGGTGGCGCAGTGGTTGAGCGCTGGGTTGCGAAGCTGCCCACGGCCTCTGCAGCGCCGGTTCGATCCCCGGCTGCTCCCCGGCCACGGGAGGAGGGTCCCGCATGGCGCGCAGACCTCTCCTGCCGCCCGCTGCTCCCCTCAGCAGTGTACTTCGGTCCTTCTGCCTGCTCTGCTCCCCGCTCTGGCTCTGGTGAATTCTCTCACCCTCCCGCGCTTCTGACTGTACCCAGTGCATGTATAAACAAAACGAACAAACAAACAAATAAATAAATAAACATGCCTCTATTAAAAAAAAAAACTGATAAAAGTTTGGCACAACATGGGTAGACCCAGAGGTATACTGAATGAAATAATTCAGACAGAAACACAAACACCCTGTGGTTTCACATGTGAAAGACAGAAGCAAAACAAAGAAATCAAAATAAGACTCTTAGATTATAAGAACAGAATGGTGGTTACCCGAGGGGTGGGGAGAAGGGTGGTGGGTGAATTGGATAAAGGGGCATCAAGTGTGTTTGTGTGGATGGAAATGAGACTTCTGGGTGGTGATCATGTCTTATCTACAAATGTTGGAGTAGAAGATTATATACTTGAAACTTAGAAAGTGTCACTTTTCTGTTACTGCAGTAAAAAATTTTGAGGAAAAAAAAAATCAAACAAAAATTGAATATATTGGTCAGGCTGCATGGAGCAGCCTGTTTTTATTGTAAATGAATGTGTGGGTATTATGGCTTTAAATAGTAACCTTGTGCGAGCTGGGTTAGCCGTACTAAGTACTGATTAACGTGATCATTTATGGAATCTTAGTGTGACAGACCTTTGAGCAGTGGTGAGGGTCAGACACTAGACAGTCATTAAGTCCCCAGGTAATGTCACCTGGCAGAGATTCTGATGCTACCTTTCCAAGGGCAACACCCTCTTTTTTTTTTTTTAAATAATAAATTTTATTTTTATATTCCCCATACAACTGCAGCCCCCCCATTCTGACCCCAATCCCTCCCCTCCCGCCCCCACCCCCAAAAAAGTGTCTCTGGTTCATAGTTTTTTGTTGATTTTGATTTTCACTTTCTTATAGTTATGCATTTTCCTGGTCCCTTATTTAAGTTTTCTAGATTCCTGCTATGAGTGAGACCATCCGATATTTTTCTTTTTCTTTCTGGCTTATTTCTCTGAGCATGATCCCTTCCAGCGCCATCCATGTTGCTGCAAATTGCATGTGTTTATCTTTTTTGATTGCTGAGTAATATTCCATGGTGTATATGTACCACATCTTCTTGATCCAGTCATCTATTTGTGGGCATTTGGGTTGTTTCCAAAGCTTAGCTATTGTAAACAGTGCTGCTATAAACATAGGGGTGCAGGTGTTCTTTGGAATTGATGTTTCTGTGTCCTTTGGGTAAATACCTAGGAGTGGAATTGCTGGATCCTGTGGAAGCTCTATGTTTAGTAGGTCCAGAAATCTCCACACAGCTCTCCATAGTGGTTGGACCAGTTTGAACTCCCACCAACAGTGCAGAAGAATTCCTTTTTCTCCACACCCTCGCCAACATTTGTTGTTGCTGGTTTTTTTAATATGTACCATTCTCACTGGTGTAAGATGGTATCTCATAGTAGTTTTGATTTGCATTTCCCTCATTACAAGCAATGTTGAACATTTTTTCATATGCCTGTTGGCCATAACAGCTTCTTTTTTAATGAATGCTTCTCCATTACAATTTTAAGTAAATTTGTAATAGTCACATCCACTAATTGTTTGTATCTTTAGAATAGCAAAAATTTGACCCATTGGGGAAAAGTGCCGTTCAACATCAGAGGCAACGTAGTTTGAAAACACTTGTTAAATGCAGACGGTTTCATAGTCAAGGAGAATCTTGGCCTACATTGTTTGCCCCGTGTCCCAGTTTTTATTATGCCACGTGGATTTCTTTTGAAACCATGAGGTATTTGCTTTTCAGCTCTCCTGCTACCTGTACCTATGATGGTGGTGTTGCCATGCTCATGCTTGGGAACTCAGGAAAGGTGGGCAGCTGAAGTAACTGACCAAAGTTTAATGAAGCCCTTTTGAAGAGGATAATGATGCACATGGTGCATTTGTGAGTACTCACCACCTATTTTTCTTACCTTTTGTAGGAGAGAAATGGCAGAAACAGAGGCACTTCTAATGGAACAGAATAAACTACTGAACAGGTAACTGAACTTGGCAGCATTTGTGTATTAGTGAAATGAGTTAGTATTTGTGAAGTTTCTGAAAGAGTACCTGGCACCAGTAAATACTGTGTGTGCTTGTGATTATTGTAAGTTCTTTTGAATGCACCTGAGCCTAGTCATACCACCAAAAATGCCCAACCCCAGCAAGTTCTCTGTATCTGAGTGTGACATCACTCGTCCTGACGTGGCTTCTGTATCACCCATTACTGTGGCCTGAGCAACATGATTCCTTAATCTCTAAACATTCTAAGTATCTGAGCCCCCCCCCCCATTCATTTTTATTTTTGTGTGCTCGCTCATGCAGACTGTGTGTCAGATCAGTTTTAATTTTGAATTAAAACAAGCTTCTTTAAAATTTTTAAGGAGAGAGCTCCTGGTCATTTGGAAGAATGCAGCAGAGCTCAGCTTGCAAAGGCCCCCCCTGCAGTGCTTCAGGGGTGGCATTAACATCAGCACCCCCACTTTGTAATTGGTGCCGAGATCACTTGGAGTAAGACGTTTTGAGCGACTGGCAGTGCCTGGGCGCTAACTTGTCCTAAAAGTGTACATGTTACTGAGCCCCCCAAGATGCTCAGCCGGCACTGCTAAGGGCACATGCATTACGTGCTCTGTGTGGCATGAAGTTGGACAAGTCACACCTGCCACCTTTCTCCCTTCCCACCCCCTTCTCTCTGGATCTGCACCAGGTCCTGCCTTTTGACCTTGCATTAGGGCACCTGGGTCTTCAGGGCAGAGGGATGTTCTCAGCCCACCTGCCTCATCTTTAGCCTCCTTTGCCCCCAGCTCCTGTCCCTCAACACGCTTTCTTCAGGGTGGGAAGGAGACCCCGGGAGCCCAGCCTGCGGTCACGTGGGCAAGTGTGATATCCCCCTAGATGGCTTTCTTTCCCGACTTCTGCTTTTCCAGTTTGTTACAAACACTGGGTCATTTTATGTTTTGTCACATTTCCCTTCTGGGACTTTGGGGTATTCCCTTTGCATGTGACATTCCTATTGGTCGTGTCCTTTCTCCATGGCCTTCAACCTTCTTCTTGGAACTCACGGGCAGAAATGTGCTACCTTAGGGCCCAGTGCGCACACCTGTACACATGGGAGTAGATTTTCCAAAGTAGTAAATATCTTTACTGCACATGATAGGCTTTTTCAGTCTGTAGGATTCTGCCGCTTCTTTTTTCTCTTTTTTCTTTGTAATGGTTTCCATAACTTACAAAATGGCTTTTGTAGCATGCTAGTCAGTTGTATTTTGACAGACTTGCAATACTTTGGTGCTGTGGAAGGGTCAAGGGTTCCTTGCTCTCCTTATTTTATAGTAGTGTGTGCGCAGGTCGCTATTAGCCCTTAAAGGGCCCTCGAATTTGCCATCACTTAATTCTCTATGAATAAAACACCGTCCTTCATTTCTATCTAAACTTCTGTTTCTATGTTTTCACATACTGTTCGCATCCTCAGCTTTCTGTTTGAACTTTGATGTGACTCTCCTGACCAAGAATCATTTCATTTACCATTTTGAATGAAATTGTAAATTTCTGATCCTGAATATTACTTTTTTTTTCCAAAAAAAGTAACACACTTGTTTTTCATTAATTGCCATATTTGTTTAATCCCCATATTTAATTTCTTAGAAATGTAAAACATGAAACTATTCTGATGGTCTTGTCTGACTATATATACCCCTCCTTGGTCCAGGGATCACAGAATGACAGTGGCAGGTCTTCTATCCCTTGTTATTTTCTCAGTTGATGTCGTGGGTGGCAGAGAGACACCTGCTGGCCTGAATGTAGTATTGCATGGCTATTCTCTCCTGAAATCATCAGATTATCATTTTTAGTTCTTCAAGCTTTTATAGTGTCCACATAAACCTTTGTATATTGGAATACATTGAAATTGCCCATCTGATTCCCTCAAACCTGCTCAATATCTAATGAAATGAAACCTATTCATACCATAGAGCCCAATCTAGGAGCTGATAGCTAGTGGGGGAAAAGATTTCATGGTAAAATGTGATTTCTTACGTTCATTGTATTCTTCGTGGCGCTAATACAATGATAGTTCAGTAAAGTGGCCACAACCTGGGGTCCATTTAAAACTTTTGGGAATCATCACTCACTCATCCGAGACAGTTAACGAACTTACGTTTTAAGTATTGTGGGTTTGCAGCTTGATTTGCTATATATTGTAGCAAATTTGCTTCTAATTGTGGATCTGGTGAAAGAAAATCAAGAATCTAAAAATCTATTTATTTTGAAATCCCAATTAGACTATTATTGCTACGTCTGTGCCGTATCTGTTTTAGCAACATTCTCATTGATTTCAGAGCCACGTTTATTAAGGAATCCTGATTATATACATCTAAGATTATACAAGGTATATAACACATCTTAAAGACTAAAGTGTGCAAAATGGTTCTTTTAATCAAAACAGAACCAAGTATTTACAAAGCTTTGAGGGTTGTTCCTAAGATGTAATCAGTGAGTGTGACAGCATACCCCCGTTTCTGTGTTGAAAAGATCTCACTTGAATAGTCATAGAAGTTTCTTAATATTGTGTTATTGAACCTGAGCCAAAGTTGTGCCTTTGGTTCTTTGAGTATGTTTTAATTTCAGTTGTGAGTAATGAAGACTTTCCATAAATATGACTATAGCAGATATGCCAAAAAATTAGCCAAATATTCATTCATGTGTTTTACAATTATTTTCAGTGCATATGGCACAATTTGGATTGCTTTTATAGTGTCCAAGATTTGAAATTTTGTTAGAAGAGAATAAAGCAGACTTTAATAACTAGTAGATGTTAAAGTGCATTTATCAAAATCCTTCAATTTCATTTTGATTTCCCCCGTTTTTTAATTTCTAAAGCAATTTTTAATAAATAAAAGTTTTTCCCCTGTTGAATTAATGGAACACACACAAAAATAAAAATTTCTGCTATTTTCTTCTCAGCCTTGTGTTAAGGGACCTTTGCTCCCCCTGGGCATCTCAGATACATATTCTTCCTTCTTTGACTTTTCTATATGTTGGCGCAGCATTCTACAGCCCTTTGTGTTTGCACCATTTGGGCCAGGACACAATGACTGCGCCGACTCTGCATGGAAGCCGGCTTAGAAAGGCCTGGGCTGGTGCAGTACTTCTCTGCCAGTCAGGTCATTTCAGAGCAGTTGAAGGTCAGCCTTGGGACCATGCCAGGGGTGCTGGGCTGGGAGGTGATCCAGAGTCCTCTTTTAATTTAGGAAAAACAAAAGGGAACAACCATAGCATTACTGTGGAAAATCCTGTCTTGGAAAAACTGAACAAGCAGCTCCTATATGACCTTTCCCAAGATAGCAGGGACCTGCAGCTCACACGTCACCACGCTCCTGAAGCTCCTCTAGCCCCGACCGTGTATTCACCATCGGAATTCATCCTTTCCATTCCCCCTCATTCGCTTTCCTTTTGTCCTTACACCTACCTGCTGCTTGTTCTCATTCCTCTCTGATTATTTCTTCCATGTAACTTTATAAGCTGCCCTGCCATGCTGCTAATAGCCCTGGATCTGAGAGTCCCATCCCATTCCTGTTGGGTGAGCTCACATTATTAGCACAGAAGAGCAGAATCAAGTGCTTAGAAAGGAGTGTGAGAGAGGTTTCAAATAAATACTTCTAGACCACTTCATTTGAATTCTAGCTCTTTGGAAAAATTAAGAAGCCATAAAAAATAAACTTTAACTAGAATTTTTTTTATTTTTTTTTCTGTAATTTGGAAGGAATTTTCAAAGTGGAATTCTAGCCTGGTTCTTAACCTGCTCTTTTTTGCTCCTTGTACACAAAACCTGCCTGGAAGTCCGTAAAAAACACCCAAATATGTATGTTAATACCTTTAACCAACATCTTTTAGAGTACAGAGAAGAAAGGGCCGAATCCTTGCGTGTTGCCAAGGCTCCACCTTAGAAGCATTTGTCTCGTCACAGGACAATAATGCCCTGAAAAGGGCATTATTGGAAGTTCAGTGGGACACATTAGGGCAGATGCCTAGGTATTTGGGAACACGAAGCATTACCTCTGAGTTTAATTACCCTGAACAGGAAGGAAAAACATGTATTTTAAAAAATATTTCACTCTTGTCCGATTTTTCTGGCTATTTTCCCATATTCATGTTCTGAGAAAAAAACTGAAGTGAAAACAGGAACTCTTACCCCTTTCATTCAGGCACCTGAGAAGTCACATATGTAGCCACACGCTGATTTTAAAAGTGTGAATAAAGGAAAAGGAAGAGGAAGACAATAAACACTAAGATATGAATCAGTAGGTGTGTGGGGGGTTGTAGCTTAGAACTTCAGTGCTTGATGAATCTAAAGTCTTAAGTATATATGTGATGTCATGGGAGGTGCTTGGTCAGCTTCTGTTGTTGCCTTGTACAGAGACCCTCTCAGGCAAGTCCTCTGTGTCTCTTCCAGAGTGAGGGGTGATTGGCTTTGATCTGTCCTGTATCCTTGTGATACTATATATGGAAGAGAAAACAATGATGTTAACGGCATTTATTATTTCCTACATACTGAGCACTCATGAAGAGCTCAGTCCAATTTTCCAGAATGTGCACCACCAGAAAGCTAGTTAGGTTCATGTGTGAAAGAATACAGTTACCTAACCCCTGTGCGGGACCAGGGGTCACCAGAACGTATGCTTGTTGGGATTCCATAATGGTGCCAACAGTGTTGAAAGCTCTTTTGGTTTTCCATTGATGATCTGCTGTGATAGCCACACTAGGAAATTCTTACTTGTTAAAAGGAGGATTTAACAGACTAAAATAATAACTCAGATTTTTTTACGTTTGGAGCATTACGTTAGTAATCTTAATGATTTAAAGATTTTTTTTAAATATCTATGCATTCTTTTTTTTTTTAAAGATTTATTTTTATTTATTTCTACAAGCACTGGGTACAGTCAGAAGCGCGGGAGGGTGAGAGAATTCACCACAGCCAGAGCGGGGAGCAGAGCAGGCAGAAGGACGGAAGTACACTGCTGAGGGGAGCAGCGGGTGGCAGGAGAGGTCTGCGCGCCATGTGGGACCCTCCTCCGGTGGCCGGGGAGCAGCCGGGGATCGAACTGGCGCTGCAGAGGCTGCGGGCAGCTTCGCAACCCAGCGCTCAACCGCTGCGCGCCACTGGGGAGGCCCGATTAATGGTAAAGATTTTTAAGTAAATACTTGCAACTTAGACTCTGGTTCTCCCCTCATGGATAGAATAGTATAATATTAAAAAAAGTTTGTAATCATTATGGTTCATACATTTCCTCAATAGTTAGAAAGTCTTCTTCTATAAAATATGTCTTGCTGGTTCAGTAGGAAATCGACCTTTTAGACAGAAAGATTCCAAGGGATTTCAGTATTTTGGGCTATCTCTACGTCAATAATAGGTAATCTAGCTTCTCCAGGTGAAGGGGAAAATTAATATATACCTTTAATCAATTTTTGCTTTGCACCTTAAAAGAAGGGAGCATTAGCCTGGGTAATAAAAAGTTTTCTTTTCATGGTAACTTATTTTCTTGCTTAGTTTTTGCTTTTTTTTTTTTTTTTTTTTTTGAGTGACAGCACTGGTAGTAGATTTGAAAATGACTCAGTATGTATTTGTAAAGGAGAGGAGAAATTTTCAATATGATTGGAAATGTGTTGCAATATTGCCAAAAGTTCAAATGAATGCATAGGTAGTTTATTCAGTTTCCATTGTAAATTAAATTTAAAATGAAACTTAAAACTTTTCAATTTCCAGGCAAAGCAAGCAATTAAGCTGGAATCTGTCTTGACAAGCCCTCTTGTCTTCCCTCCCCTAATAGTCTCGTCCTTTTTGTTTGTTTGTTTCTTTATATGGTGAAATTAGTGTAGGATTAAGACCAGGGACATAGGAAAAGGAAAATCAATCACAGCAAAATTTAAATTTCACTGTTTAAATTTGGAATTGGAGGAAGGTTGGAGGCCATTTGCCCCAACTGCTTCAATTCACAGATAAGGAAATGGAGTTTCTGAGAGCATGGGGGCCTGTACCGGGCCCGGCGACTCACAGCCCTTATTCAACCCGAAATTATAGTTGTTTTCTTTTTTTCAGCTTAAAATATTAAAAACCTCAGTCTTTTTTATCATTTGTTTTTTAGCACACTGCTTGGAAAGTATGTATCTTAGCAAAATGCAGTGGAAAAGCAAAGCCTGTTTGAGCCAGCAGTTGTCAGTTTTTTTCCACTCGACCAGATCGAGGGCAGCCTGACCTGGGCACAGATAGGAAGGAGGAGAGAGGCCCAAGCATTGCCTCCACGACAAGGAAGGTTTTACGGGATCGTTTTTAAATCTGGAGCCACAGCCTGGAACCATTTCTGACAGTGGTTTGCACCCTGAGAAGTGCCACGTCCTCTCAGCTGTGGTTCTCAGCTGTGGGTAGTTCGTTCAACCCAGTAAACAACTCCCCTAATTCCTGTACTCTCCAGATGCCTTGGGCAGTTTCCTTCAGTAAACAGAATATCCCCCTTTTAGAAGGTTATTTATTATCCACATTATTTCTACTGCTATAGAGGCAGCTTTAGTGGTGGCCATTAACTTATTATATTAATGCAGTCTGCGTGCTGAGGCTAGTCTCACATTTGCCCCTCCCCCGGCTGCGGGAGTCATTCGGCTTCCCAATTAAAAATACCTAATTCCCACAACCAAATACTGCTCTCCTCTGGAGAGCTGTGGTGAATATGCATGACCTTAGCTCCAAGCACAGCTAATGAAACAGGGTAAATGGGGTAGGAAAATGAGCATCATCACCAAAAAAGTCCCAAAATGTAATACCACTAGTACAAAACGTCATATTTGTAAAGTGCAGACATTACTGTTCTTTCATCCAAAAGCTGTATCTTTCTTAGAAGCTGAGTGACTAGATTGGTATAGACTTTCCTTTCCTTTTTTTTAACTACTGATAATGTACCCAAATGTATGTGAAAAGTATTGCTTTTAGACACAGTGAATTCCTGGTAGAAATGAACAAGTTAGTCTGATCTAGAAAAGAAGGAACCCTAAATATGCCTAAAAATAACCTAAAAATCTTGGTGATAAGGAGTAAAGTCATATTGCTAGCATCTAGTATGGCCGCGTAGATAGTTATTACTCAATTAGAGATTTTATTTTGGAAACAGAGTACCATAGCAGAGCACATAAAGTTCTCTGCCATATATGTATTTTTAAAAAAGAAGTGTTAAACCACATTGCCTTAGTTTTAATAGACTGTTTGCCGAATGTAGTAGGACTCAGCGAAGGGATTATGTTTTTTGGAAAGTACATGCAGTGCACACAGACAAAACAACTAGCTTGTGAAACAGCAGTTACCCTAAACGACAGCTCTGGCACAGTACATGTAAACCTCAGATTCGGTCTGTTACCTGAGAATTTCATTGCATTTTGAAAGAATCCAGAATTATGCTAATAATTGAATGTTTCACATGATAACATACAATGCATTGTTCTGTATGTATTTTCCATAATTTTTGGAAAGAGACTATGCTTATTTGACCAAAAGGGCTTTCATGAGAAAAGTTTCAAAGGTGGTGACCAAGGTGTAGTGGTTAGACAAAGACCTGAATACTGTTTCTGTTTTTCCCGAATTCATGTGCCCTGGGCTTTTTTAACTCAGATTCTATAACAGAAGGACTAGCACTTCCTTCTCCCCTCAGCATGTAGGCGCAGATGGGGAAGACAGGCATTCTGTCAAGAGTAATTTTGGCTTTTACCTGTCTTACTATTGTCCAGGCCTATCTCCAAGGCTTACTATGTAATTTTGAAGACAAGGATGATAGGTTGGAGGAGAAGGATCCACTGGTGCATAATTCTTTCATATTATCCGGAAGCACATGCTACCTTGGTCACCGTGCATGTTACAGCTGTGATTTCTCTGAACCTTTGTAACACAAATTGCATGCAAAGGAAGAGGTACCCCTGTGTGTATTACCCAGACTGGAATAATCTCTACAACTGCAGGATTCACTGGCTTGTGGAGATAAGACCCAAGAGGAGGAGGAAAAGGCTTCATAGTAAAGCTTAAGTGTCAGTACCTGAGAATGAGTTCTTTTTAGTGTTTAAATAAAAGTTAGAGACATTGCAGAGAAATAGGAAGTCACTCAGTTGTAGTCTCATATGGTTTGTAGGAAGGAAAGAGAGAGATGGAGTTTGAATCATTTGCTGGGAAGCATGTTCAAAATGCACCGGGGTATCAAGGTGTCAAAGAGACGGTCTCTGGTGTAGACTGCAGATTGCATTTTGATGGAGAAATTAAGATAGCCAAGCCTTGGCAGTGGAGGTAATAGTGCAATTCCGGTAAACATACGTGCTTATCTGGTGTCGTGGTATCACACTCAGCTGCGCGTGGCTGCAGGGCACTGTTATCATTACAAGTGAGGGCCCTGCACCCATACTTCCTGAGTTCGAGTACGGCTTTCTTGGATTCTGTATCTATCAAACATGGACAGTATTAGTATTTACCCTTTTTGGAGTGAATGAGAGGTTCCAATGAGTTAATGGCTTGGACTGTGCTTAGAACTCAGACCAGGCACCTGCTTCTTATCCTATTTTGTCTATATATTTTATGTAAATTTTCTCTTGCTACGCTTTTCCTTATCCTTCCTTCTGTGTCGTGGCATCTGTATGTTATGTCACCCTACTTAATTATTTAATAATTTGATCTTCTATCACCAGCCCCATATAGAGAGAACAGGCACTGAACTGGGTGAATGAGTAATAACTTGCATTGTATCTTGAGAACTGTGGATTAGTAATGCATCCTGGTTTGTGGGTTAGTTTCCAAGATAAGGTCATGCCGGCATAGCACCCATTAAATTAAATCCACACATAAGCCTCCCACCTCATTTCAAACATGATTTTTATTCTTCTTTCCTGATACATCATTTTCTTTTCTGGGACTCTGGGAAAAGGAGTATGTTTTACATCATGAAAAGTACACACAACACAGACATAAATGGAACAACTATTTTTGAAATAATAGTTACACTGGATGTGATGAGCTCTTATTTTCTTTTTTATTTCCTAGTTTGCTTCATACATAAGGATTGTAATGCATTGAATTTATTTTATAGGTCACTAAAGGTCCACCCTGTATGTTGGAAAACACTTTATTAGACCAATTTGACTTGTCCAGAACCAAAGGGGAAACCATTCTTACAGCCCAGGTTCCTTTCCTTTTCATCTGGACTTCCCCATCATGAAACTGGAATTCACCAGGTTTAAATACACACATTTAAATGCCACCAATCTGTTTAGTTAGGTCATAGTTTGTGCCATCATCTCTATAAGGCCATCTCTATAAGGCCTCCCCTGGTGGCGCAGCAGTTGAGCGCTGGGCTGCGAAGCTACCCGCAGCCTCTGCAGCGCCAGTTCAATCCCCGGCCTCCCAGCAAGGGTCCCACATGGCGTGACAGACCTCTCTTGCCGCCTGCTGCTCCCCTTCGCAGTGTATTTCGTCAGTCTGCCTGTTCTGTTCCCCGCTCTGTCTCTGGTGATTTCTCTCACCCTCCCGCATTTCTGACTATACCCAGTGCTTGTATAAATAAAAAAAGAATTAAACTTACTATATTCAAGATGCACATTTGTAATATAAAAAGGTAGCACAAAACTCTTATTACTTAACAGTAGGGTCTAATCATCATTTTTGGAAAACAGTTTAAGGTCCGGTAGATAGGTAGGTATGATAACATTAACAACATTGTCAGATTATGATAGCCTAATTCTTCCCCACCTATCCCTAGCTGAAGAAAGAATTGAGTCATGTAGAAAAATGACGTTATTGTTAGACAGAGCCCTGGAGAGCTGTGTGTGGTGCTTAGCTGTCCAGTGGGCTCTCCCTTTCTACCAGTCCATTAGCTTGGGAGCTAACTGCTCAGAGTTGTTCATCCCCTGAACAATCATGAAGCTGAGCACACCCCTCTGCCCCCAAATGCTGTGTTAAGCCCTGACTCTGTAGTCTCATCTTTATGATGGCCTTCCCAGGTTGTGAGCACTAGCGCTGCACACAATCTGGTCGCCCGTACCTCCAGCCACACACGGTGCTGCGGCCATCGGTCCACACGGCCTGTACATGCCTCAGCCACGCTGTCCTGGCTTAGGAGTATGTCCAGTACAACCCTGGCCCATCTAACTTGGCTGAACTTTTGAGTATTAGTTCTTCTTCTTTTCCTGCTCCCTTTGCAGGTCTTTATTAATTCCATACATGCATCTTACTCCATTTCTTCCATATAGCTCATGAAAGTCTCTTTTTCTAAGCTTTTTCTCCTTCTTCCCTCTTTGCTCAATTTTGGAGAGTCCCCACTGGCCCTTCTCATAGCTGATGGTCTCATGAGTAAAGGTATAATCATCATCAGGAGAAAAGAATGCAGCATTTTGGGAGGTAAAATAAGGCATCAACCCCAGTGTCCTCAACTTTCAAATCCCCAAAAGTGCCTCAGTCAGGTTCATCCTCTTTTATGTAAACCTTCTCATACATTTGCATACAGATAAAGGAAAAATATTCTTTGTTCTCTTACTTTATTCCTTTGATAATTACTAGTATTGCAACATAGCAACAATGTGCACTTCATTTTAGGTATACACTACTTATTACACATACCTAGTGAGTGAAGTCTTTGTGGTATGCCCTGGGTACTAACTGCTGTTAGCAGATCCACTCCCTGCGGGAACAGTAACTCCAGTCCTAGACCCCAACATAAGTAATTTTGGGACATAACCAGGGATTTGAAGAGTACTTAATGTTATTTATTCTCTTAACTATGCCTCTGTTCGTGAAAGAGTTCGACTATTTTAAAATCCTCTAAGGACTACTAAAAGTGCTTCCATAATGATTTTTCAATAATAAATTAAAATGGAAGTCATAGGAGAATTCAGAGTATTCTAAAAACATTACTCTGGTTAGGCGTGGATTTTGAGATGACACATCACTTTATCTCTTCTGTGGATGTGTTTGTGACACTCTGGACATAGAATCCACTGCTTTTAACTCTCCATTTACCCTGAGGGGTAGCTGATTCCAGAACATGGGGACCTTGCCTTGATTCCAGGTCATGTCCCAGCCGACCCCCTTCACCCTGGCCATTTTCTCGCATGTACACTTGAAATATGACAACTTTGTCTAATGAGACATGATATCTTTTTTTTTTTTAAACTGGGAAGCAGCTGTCATAAAATGTTTAAAAAGAAAAGCTATTATATTTTCCCGTTAGTAGAATTTGAGAAATATTGGCTCTTTGTGAAAGTATTTCTGTCTTGTTCTCTGTACTGATCTGGAATTAAAAAAAAAAAATTATAATGATTACCTAGCAACTTTATATCCATTCCTTTCTTTAGATCTCAATTTAATGTCTTTTTATGGTTTGGCTTGCGTTTTCGTGCATAGTCTGAGACTTACTGTGTAGCAAGCAAATGGCCACTGTGAAATCACGGTTGGAGGTCTTCAGTCCGTGTTCTCATTCACTTAAAATGCATTATCTTAACAAAATATTGTGTTTATAAAGTAACCTTGAACTTGAAAATATAATAAGGGTATTGTTGCTAAACAGATACAAATAGAGCTTATTATTCTTATGTTAGACTCCACCCAAGCCAAATATGTAACAGAATTCCTAAGTTCTATGGAGTAGCAGCTTTGAAATTCGACTTGACATAGCTTTGGAAAATTTCTTATGTGTCCAACTGTGAAACACAAAGACATGCATAAAATTAAACGATAAAATATAAATTCTTAAAAATCATCAAGGTCTGAGGCAAGATAAAATAGAGCCCTGGGTCTGGCAGGATTGCCTCAGACCTTGGAGGATGAGATGAGTTAAGTGGCTGTATAAGGAGAGGTGCCTTTCAGCCCGCCCTGTCAACCGAGGATGTTTCATCTTGTATGAATATTGGGCTTTCACCTGGGATTTCATTGGAGAGGATAATGAAAGGGGTTCTATTGCTCACATGTAGTTTGAGAACCACTGCCCTGACAACTCTGAATTTTACCTATTGTGCACGACACTTGGAATACCCAACTATCCGGATCAGCTCATGGTATAAAGTTAAAGATGTAAGATCAGCTTGCTTACAGTCTGGACTGTGGTGGGATGTCAAGTGCATAGTCATCCTGAAAAGTGCGTGTGGAGGTGGGAGGGAGTTGGAGAGCTTTTCCACACATATGCTATTTTCTCTGTGAGGCTACCTTCATCCAGAACATTTCCTTAGAAACTTTATGTTGGAGGAAAAGGTAAAACTTTTTTATTAATGTTCCAATAATACTTTTCTACTCCAGTTATAATCATGGGGTTTCCCCCTTAGTTCTTCAGGTTGAAGTACATTGGTTAAAATGGAGAACAGGTGAAGAAAAACAATTCTGAATTTTCTAAAAGTTGGCACAGTCTTAGGTTAGATCAAGAAGGAACCAAGAACTATAAAAAGATAGCTTTTTAAATACAATTTTGACATTTTCTCAATATTCCTTTTTTTTTTCTTTAATCCTTTATGTTCAGAGGCGCGCAGGGTGGAGCTGGACACACAAAACCAACGCAAGATCTTACTCAGAGGATGCATTGCTGGTGAGTCCCTGCTGGTAGCTGTAGACTCCTGAGTTTGTGTATTCATGTTCTTCTGAAGAAGTGATTTTTTGCTGAGACATCTGTGGCAAAGAAAACCTTGTGAAAGTTCTTGTTGCAGAGTCTGGAATATAGCAAGTAGTTATTAGATGCGAGTGTCCTTTTGTCTTCACTTTCCTCCTCTTGTTTCTAGTAGCATATGTGTTTGGTTTTTCTGGTTGTAACATCTTTTAACATCTGTTTGCGTTCAACCTGGAGGACTGCGTTTTTCAGGTCCTGTGGCTTGAGCTCTCCTCTCAGTGGAGAGGTGGATGGGGAGGGAGGTGGGGGGAACCTATAGTTAAAGCCACAAATTGTCTTGAAATTGTCTTGGGGTTCATGTTCATAACACTCCTTGTTTAAGCAATAATCTAAGGCAAAATAATAGAATAAAGGAAGGCGGCAACAGCTATAATCAGCTCACTTCTGTTAACAGAAAATGTAGTTTTTATTTTTTTAAAGATTTATTTATTTATTCATACAAGCACTGGGTATAGTCAGAAGTGCGGGAGGGTGAAAGGATTCACCAGAGCCAGAGCGGGGAACGGAACAGGCAGACTGATGAAACACACCGCTGAGGGGAGCAGCGGGTGGCAGGAGAGGTCTGCTTGCCATGTGGGACCCTCACCCGGTGGCTGGGGATTGGCGCTGCAGAGGCTGCGGGCAGCTTCACAACCCAGCGCTCAACCTCTGCACCACCGCGGAGACCCCAGAAAATGTAGTTTTTAAACTTCAAAATATGTAAGAATAGCCTGAAATGCTAGTTAATATGCAGAGTCCTGCTGTCCTCCACTGTCTCCCACCCCCGCAAATGTCATAATTCTGAATCCATTCGTAGGTCTTTCTAATGCAGATGATCCAAGACTATATTTTGAAAATCTCTAATTCTAGAAAGATCAACTACATCATTGCTTCATTATTCTTGGTTTTAATATTTTTTTGAGAAATTTTGCTACTCTGTGGTAATTCTGAGCCCCAAAGCCATGACTTAGAATCCTTGGCTTAAAAATACTTATCCCATGCCTATACCTATGTATAACTCTCAGACAGTCATAGAACACAAAAAACCTTAGGCAGCGATTTGAGATTTATTTGCAAATTGCTGGTGTCAACATCATAATTCTTTCTTCATTGGCCTTGCCGAGCACAGCAGTCAAATCTCCTGTGGTTTGTTCTCTCCGTGGTTTCCTGTAGCATTAGGGAGGCTGAGAGAAACTAACCCTTTTTAGTTTTGACTCATTCCGAAGTGGTATGTCTTCCTGAGATGGGATAGAAGAGACATGCCCCGAGGTGGCAAATCAGTCCTCCACACGCATTGCCTTCACTTAGCCAATGGCTTGCTCGGAATGAGTTTATGACGAGGTGCAGTTTCATTCATCAAGGGGATTTAAGGCTTCAGCAGGACACAGCCGAGAGTCTTGGGTAACTCCTGGGCATGGGGCTTTGTGGTGACTCCTCCAGAGAAGCAAGGTGGTGCCTCTGACTGAAGAATTAATGGTTGTCCGGGTAAGGGTATATGGGGGACATCCTTTCGTTTTTTTTTTTTTTTTTCCCTTTGGGTGGATTTGAGATTTGAGAAAAATGAGTCTTCTCTTTGAGAAGAGCTCAGAATTGTTTGAAATCTTCTGATTTACTTTATGATATTAGCGATACCTACTGGTTCACCCTCTTGATGTAAAATTCACCTTCAGAATGTAGTTTCCTTTTCAGATTTTAAAATAGAAGATTCCATTTTCCCCTCCTTGCATGAAATGTTTAAAATGAAATAACTGTAGTTGCTAAGATACTAATTACACATAGGTTCCTGGTTTAGAGCTGAAGTCTTGTATTTTTAGGAAGTATGCTTTAAAAGTTGGGTGTGGGGGGGGAATCGATGTTTGTATCTGATTTACGAAATAATGATGCTATGTACATGTCGGACTAGACCTATGGCCAAATTTTGAGGCACACTGCTTACTCTTTCTGAGGCAGAAGCTAGGCGAGTCTCTTTCTGCCTCTCGGTCTCCATCTATTTCTACCGGTGGACCCACCCGGTGTATCCTCAGGCATGTGGGTCCGTCTATGTGCATTCAGTATAGTGGCATTTTTCTTGAAGAAATGACTAAGCCTTCTTGGATGAATTCTCTCTTTGAAAGAGGTGGTGGAATTGCATCAGAAAAGCTTTTACAGTAAATGGCTCCCCCCCTCTTCCTGTAATGACCACATGTGAAAGAATGCACTAATTCTTGTTTTGAGGAAATGAGAGTTGTAGCGATCTATGAAAAACTCCCTTTTTATCATTAACCAGATTGGATGTTAAAAATTCTAAAATCGGAATCACTTTGTGCTAGCTAACCAAGAGCCCAGATCCAGCTTTCCACTCCGTGTTTTTTCTGGAGTCACAAGTTATCTTCATTTCAAGGAAGGAATAATGTTGAACATGCTGTGGTTAATAGCATAGGCCTAAGCTAGATTAATCTCTTCATAGTCATTTTCTATATTAAATTAATATATTTCTTAGCTATGTTGCTGATTTGTTCTTACAGATTTGATCCTCAGCGTGACAGAATATAATGGCTAAAAGGAAACTCAGCAAGGCCCTCTGGCCAGGATTTTCTTGGGGACAGTACTGCCCCCTAGGGGACATGTAGTAGAAACTGATGAGGGGTGTTTGGTTCTACCATGCAAGTTATTTAGTGGGTGGGAAGCAGAGATTTTTTTAGAAAAGACAAAGAACTGCCCTGAAACCTACATCACTTTTAGCTGTTCCGTTGGTTATTCATTTAGTGAAAAATCAGTTTTTAATGATCCAAGCCAAGACCTAATTCCATTTTACATAAAAACACAAGATAGCGCGCTTGTGCATACTTTTAGCAAATACAGAATGTATTCATTTTCATTCTGTTGCTCACCTATAGCTCTGTATTCTTCATCTGGGAGGCTTCTTACTTGACTTATTCCAGACTTACTCTCCGAAGTAAGTTGTAACAGCTATTTCATTTCATAATTAATTTGGAACTGAAAATTATTTACATTCTGAAATGTGTAGATTTTGTTGTAAGCTGCTTTTCTCTTAGTTTCTCTTTTATATTACATTTAGGGTTTTATGTTAAGGCTTAAAAATTATATGTATACTAGTTACTACTTATTAATGAAATTTATTTCAGGATAGTAATTAGGGATCACAGAATTCTGGGTTATGAAAAGAGAGCTTTGGGATCCAGTGATCGAATCCCTCTCTCTGCTCTCAGGAAGGACAGTATGCCTGCCACCCAGTGGGAAGGATGCTTATCTTGCTTGTGAAGTGCTTCAGGGGACATTTCAGAAGTGCATCCAAAATGTTGAAATCTTGAAATCTCCACCTTAAGCTGCTTCTTCCTAATCGGTACTTTTCAGGAGTCTTCATTACGTCTCTCTGAAGACATGGGCTTTGGTGTCACCCCTCCATGAACCTATCCTGCACGTGCTGGTTCCTACATGTGACCATGCTGCATGTGGAGCTACCACAGGTGGTTAAATCACCAGGACCACAGCTGTGAGGGAGACCCCTAGGCACAGGCCTGTAGTGTCCCCAGTTCTCAGTGCCAGGAGCACACGTTTTTAATTTCGTAGACCTTTTTCTTGGATTATTTCTGTGTGTTTTTGTTGTGGTGGTGCTGGCTGTGGTTCTTGGTAGGTACGTGGTTATGACTATCACCTCAACTATTTCTAGGTACACTAATGAATGTTGTTTGTTTGTTTGTTTTGAGTTCTCTGGAGTATCTTTGCTCCCTTGAATTTTCTGTCTTCTGGGGTCTCTTCGTTGTTGATCTGGTTTTCCACGCACGTTGCAGGCCTTCTTGAACTGTGCTCTACTCCCTGAATGTTCCCTCCTGTGAGCTGCCAGGCCAGCATGTCCTCTGGCAGCTCAGAGCCGGCCCTGGGATGAGGAGGGCAAGTGCAGCAGCGAGGCCTGACAATGGACATCTGGGAACCGCAATAGCTGTTTGGGCCTCACCAGATTTTACATAAATTTTTTAGAGATCCCTCTCCCTTTTTAAACCTTTGATTTTTGCCTGGGGGCCTCTAAGGCTTGTTGTTCCTTATAAAGACATGGAAGGAAGAATTGTTGCTACTTTGACTTTTCAGTGAAGCTTCTCTTTTCTGTCCTTTGTGTCATTTCTGGCCCGTATCGGCCTTGCTTTTTCTGAAACCTCTCTGGGTTTTCATTGTGGAAGTTGGTTAATTATCTCCCTCCTCAGTGGCAACCCTCTCTTTGGGGTCCTTGGGGCTGTCAGCTGCCTTTCCTCAGCTTCATCAGTCAGTATTCTTCATCCTTTTCTGACTCCCAGACAGTTTTGAAGTCTCTCAGGCCCCCATGGTCTTTTTATTGTGGTGAGTTTACCTACTTTGTTGTGATTGTAGTGGGAACTTTCATGTGCCCTGACCACCATTTTGAAATGGCGTCTTTGTTCAGACTATTGTAACAACAAAGTTCCATTGACTGGGTGGCTTGTAGACAGCAGAGGTTTAGCCCCGCCAAGCCCGGAGGACGATTGATGTGGTGTCCTCACATGGCGGAGGGAGGCAGAGCTCTCTGGGGCCCCTTAGAAAGACACTGCACCCTCATGATCTTATCCCCGCCCCCACCTCCTAATGCTGACATGCTAAGGAGGCGTTTCAACATGTGAGTTGTGGAGGGGAGATAATATTTGGTCCATGACAAAAGGGAAGTCTTTTCGATTGTCGATTTGTCCAAATCTGAAGAATTAAATCAGAAGTGATTTTAGCCCGGCCTCTTAATCAGGGAAAAGATTAGATAGGGACAAATGCAGTGGGTATTGGGGTTTGGGAGAAAAACCCTCAAAATAATTTGGCTGGGAAGAAATAGCGAACTAATATTATTATATAAAGATATGCTTTCCAGCTGTGGAGGCCACAGTCATTAATCAGAGCCCTGAGAGGCTCTTCTAGCTTTGTTGCTAGAAGAAAAGATGCATCTTGTAAAACATCCAACAGAGTCATTAAAAAACAAAATCTATAAAAGTGTAGTGGCAATGGTTCCTGACCTTAACACCAATATAAATTTGGATGTGCTTACTTTTTGATTTCTTCTCTCCCTTTCAGCATAGGAGTCCCTGGGAGAATCTCCTATTCCTTCATTTCAGTAACTTTTATTCCTTAGGGATCCTCAAACTTGTCTCCTTTTTTTTTTTTTATAAGAAGCTTCTCATAGTCTCCCTCCCTACTCCCTTTGTGGGAAAAAAAAAACAAAAAAACCTCCAAAACCTTATTGATCATCCATTTCTCAGATTTGTTGTGTGTT